TTGTTGCTTTCATTGTTGTTATTGTTGTTATTGTTGTTGTTCTTGCTGTTGTTGCTGTTGGTGTTGTTATTGTTGTTGTTGTGGTATTATAAACGACTTGTTTCCAGAATGTAGGTCAGTGGGACATTAATGGTTGCTTTTTTCCACTGTATGCACGTATGAATGTTTATAAGCTGTGTAGAAGTCGTTATTGCTGTTCTTGTTGTTGTTATTATTATTATTATTATTGTTGTTGTTGTTTCAGTTGCTTTCTTTGTGTGGCAAACGTGGTCAATAATAATTCTTCTTTTTTTTTATTTTTTTTTTTATTCATTCCGAGTTTTAAATGTGGCTTTACTGCGTTGAAAATTTCTCTGCAGTTATGATTGCATGTGTGTGTGTGTGTGTAAGCAAAAGCCACTACATTAACTGACAAATGTTTTAAAACTATTTGCAAATTGTTGGAATTAAAAGAGATTTTTTTTCTTATGCAAAGATTCGAAATTTATGCTATTTGAGCATTAAGTTTGTCAATTCTGTCAGACGAAATAAATGCATTAATACGTAACTGTGGTTTTAAGATAACGCGAATTCATGAAGATTTGGAAGTTAGCTAGAAATGCTGTTGATTCTAATACAAAAAAAGGAAAAACTCTTGGCTTTTTTGCTTACGATAACCAAATATTTATTCCGAAGGCGTCATTTCTTCTATTATCAACTAATCTCTGTCGGTTAGTTTGTCCATCATTTTGGAAATTCTGCTCTCTCTAATGCTGCTAAACTTTAATCCTCTTTCGGGTATTTTAATAAAAATATTTCGTGAACCTAATCCATAAACTTTCTTCTGATTTTAAAACATATATAGAAAATTGTCTTATATTAAATATAAAATTATTACATCCGCTTAAAATTTTTATATTTTTATATTGAAAGTTTCATTAAAAAAAGTCCCCAGCTAAACATTGCACTACACTTGGTTTCCTTGAAGTCGACAGAAAAATACTTGAAAGTACATTTAAAAGATGTAAAGAAAATTACAATTTATCTGCAAATGGTGCAGACAACCATTAAACTGAATGTTGAGGTCTTATTCATTGCGGGTGGTCGCAACTCGCAGCCGCATCTTTCTGCATTCAATTCACTTACCTTTGGGAAATCGCATTAGGGATGTTTTTAAATCTTACCGTTCTTTGTGTTTATCTGAAAACAAGTAAAAGCATTCATCAGTCGGCCGCTGCCGTATACCAGTTCGTTTTATGCAGTTATTCATGTAACGAGTTTGCAAAATGAGGCTTTTTATGGGGAGTAGTCGAAAAAGTGTTCCGATCCGAATCATTGCAGATTAAGCATGAGAAAGCAAGATGGACCGACGGACGGATAGACAAGCTTGAGAATCACTTTCTGAATTGATCGGTGTAATGAAAGGTGGTTTATCCCGTTATATACGTGGTACCGCAACTCGTGTAGGGTAGAAAAATTAAAGCAAAACGTTCCAAAGCCTTCCAATATTAAATTTAAACTAAAATGCATTATTTTTTCTGATCTTAACTTACTTACTCATAGCAATGCTACACATTGCCTGTTAAGGTAAGAGTAAATGCCAGCCTCCTGAACTCTTCTCTCATCTGTGCTACAAGCGGTGTAGATTGTAACGATCTTTAGAACAATTTTAGAAATGATTTTGATTTTTATAACTTCCATCTTTAGTTAAAAAATATAGCTTAGTAATAATGTATCTTATGGTGCTCGTGGACTTCAAAGCAACTTTCCGTACTTAGGTCCTGAATTTTTTTATTTTTTTTATATCTCTATAAATTTAAATTTTCCAAGAGAAGGATTTTCTTTCGAAATTTCTTTAGATTGTTATAAATTGAAAATAATAACAAGTTTTTTTTTATTATTTAGCGAAACATTTTATAAATTACAAACAGATTTAAATTTTATTTAAAAAAAAAAAAAAAGATTCTTTAAATAAGGTGAACAAAAATGATTCTTTTTATGAAAATAATAATAGAAATAAAATACTCATGTACAGTATGTAAAGCGAGATTAATAGAAAACAAAAAAAAAAAAAAAAAAAATAAATAAAAAAAAAACAGGCACATGTCCATTAATAGTAATTGCACAATAATTTAGATTGTTTTAAAGTAAACAAGGAAAACAGTTTTGTATGTGTGTAGAGAAAAAAACAACTCTTTTTCCACAAAAATTATATATTAAAAAGAATTAACTATTTAAAGTTTAAAATAAATTATTGATTAACACTAACGTATATATAAATAACTTTAAACATATACATATGTATAATTTTATAGATAAGTATTTGAAAAAAAAAAATTCATATATATATTAAGGATGTTCACGCCGTATAAAGTGTACCGCCCATAGGGTCCGTTAGTTTTTAAGCGCATATGATGTTCGGCACTTTCTGCCAAACGACTGCGGTTTTTTAGGATAAAGACAACTGACAACATTATAAGCCGATCTCCGAATATCCTACATACAGTACAGACTAGTACACTTATTCATTCGGTTTGGCAATAATACATCAAAGATTACCCATTATTTTCATGCAAAGGCATACTTCCCCTACATCACATGATACGATTCGAACTTTGCAAAGTTAATTTATCTCCTAAAAATCTTATAAGATTTAGAAATTAGACTTTCTCTCCATATAGGTTCTGAAACTTGGGGTCTGAAAAGTAGACCTCTCTCATCCAAGTTTCCTACCGTTCATTTTTGCTGCTAAAATGCTATTAAGGGCAAATTTTTTGTCATGAAATGTTAAAAGTGAAACGTTTTGCTGGAGGGCTAACTGTATTCGTGAGAAATCTTTCATGGAGCCAGATCCAAGAAATTGATTCCTTCGATTCGAAAATTTGTTTTTATACCAAATTACTATGATAAACAAATTTTTTGGCCTGTTATGGACTACATTTCTTGAGAATCCTCATATATGGTAGTATCTAAAATATGGACCCACATGATCCAAATTTGGTAAGGTTGATTTTTTTATCAATTTATTATTAAAATTATACCCTTTTAGCATATAAAGATTCGGTTTTTTAGGATCGGCTATCTGAGAGGGATTCAAAGAAGTGCCACAGCCGAACCAAATTTTTCATATCAATTTGGAAAGTAGTTTGAACACGAATATAAATGGACGGACGAAAGACAGACAGACAGACAGACAGACAAATGGACGGAGGGACAGACAAGATTAAGTATCGGTGTTACATATGTCCGTAAGAAATTAACATACTCTCTACTGCAAATGGTGTAGGGTATAAACAATTATGATAATCTTTGTATGGATGCTCTTGCTTCAAAAATTTAGATTAACAAAAATAAATTCATAAATTTTCTTTTCAATTAGGCATAAAGCATTTGAACCATTTGAATTTGTTTTAAGTGAAACGTGAAGAGCTTGAATGAAGTCTCTTGCCACTAACCGTAATTCTTTTTATAGCACACACTGTGCATGCATAGGTAAGAACACATAAACCAATTACATAAAAGTCATGCAAAGCGGTTGTGTGTTTGATAAGAATTTATTAACACGAATTTTTTTCAACGACTTGTTTTTCTTTTCTTTTTTTTTTTTTAATGCTTTTAGCACAAAATTAACACATAATTAAGTTATTTTGCAGAACATTTCTTACTTTCAACAGTTTGCATATGATTTTGAAATTTTGATTACTTGTGCTTGCCTTTTTTCTTCTATTTACAAGCGATCAAGTAAGTAAGGCGTGAATAAACATATATTTGTTTTATTTTTAAACTAGTTTAATAACAGAGAGAAGAATATATATATATATATATATATGTGTATATATATATATATAAAATAAAAGATAAAATTATATAACATTTATTTTATTCATTTGTAGAGAATTATTTATAAATAATTAAAGTTACAGAAGTTAAAAACTAATTAATTGCCATAAAAACCATAGATACATTTTCTTGATTTTGTACATTTTTATCATCTGGGTTAATTAAAACTAAATAATTTTTAAGCTTTTTAAGGTGTGTTCTATAAAGATTTCATTAAAGAATTTCTTTTCTTTTTTTTCGTTTCATAATTTTAACTGAGGTACTTTTCTACGCATTTTTGTTCTTACTTTAAAATAAATAATATATACATGCAGTTATATTTATATTAAATTTTATATGTGTATGTATACTTTGCGTTTTTTTTCTCTTTTTTTTATTTTCTCGCAGAACTTACAAAAAAAGTATAATAAAATTGATGTAATTTTATTAAAAAACAAATTCCTTTTTTTTTTTTGTTTTTATTTCATTATTTTCCTAAGGCTCACAGTATTGCGTCAAGACGGAACAACAGTTGCAAAAAGACAATTGGACGCTCCGTTGTATTTACATTGCTTGTGATCTCTTAGAAATTCTTCTAGCAATTCCCTCTTTCTCTCAAAAAAGAAAGAACTGCGGACTGATTTTTTTTGTCCTTTCACTTGGTCGAATTAAATCGGGACCAGGCAAAGTGCTATTAGAACAAAAATTTCGTGTGCAAGTTATGAGGAACAGGTCATGGACGATAATGTTTTTGTACTCACTCCTTATTCAGAGACCGCCCTTGAAATGCTTTCATTGCCAGTTCAGTGCAATAGATGAGATAAAAATCAGAAATTTGTCAGTTGAACTTCAGGTATGGCATAACGTCGCGGATTCTGTAAGATGCCTACGGCGATATTCATTCCCTATCCCTGTATTCATCGCTGTGAAGAAATCCTTGCGTTCAATTTTCATTTTCATAATCTCTCACTGTCGTTACATGTTCTTTGTATATCATTTTCTCGGAAAAAAATTAAGCTGGATCTTTGAGCTTTTTCCTATCGTAGTTATAAAACACTTAATCGGGTTTTAACGTATATCACTTTGTTCGCAAGTTTTTACCAAACAAAAAAGGCGAACTGCAAATGATTTCATTCTACGATTGAATTAAGTAAAATTCCCAAGAGCATAAATAAGCTCTTTATTCTCTCACTAGTGAATTAGTTTTGGTTTTGGTAAAAGCAATTAAGAATTTGCTAGGATCAGTACTTGGATGACTATCAGAATGCGTGTGAAGAGGGAGAGAAAAATGATCTTCGTAGCGGTATGTTTTAATGATCAATACCGAAGCAATCAACGTACAAATGTAAAGAAATAAATATTAATGATATGAGAATGTTTTAAAAGGTAGTTCAATAAGTTCTCGGCAGTTGCTTTCGAAAAAGTACTTCACGCATTTACGGGCGGTTATCGCATTTTCGCCCCACATCCAGTGGAATTTTTTTTGTTCAGTGTACAACAGAATAGCATCTAATGGCATAAATACTGCGTGCTAAAGGACAGCAGCTTGTAAATAACTGAGAGACTTATATCGTACAAGGACCAGTATCAAAATTACGGGCGAAGTGAACGCTTCCAGTACGCCTTGTAATGCAATATATTTCAGCACGTAGCACTTACTTGCGCACCTAATATCGCATCTTGAATGCTGGTCAATAAATTAAGAGCAACAATCTATGTCATCGTCTCTTATATCCATTTTTCAAAATGCGCCTCGTTGTGACACCAAAGTGTTGTGAACTTTCTTGACAAAATGAATATACTTTTCGTCCTTTGGTGATCGCTATAAAAACTATTTAAATGTAAAATTTTCTTCACCTGACATATTCAGAGTCGTCAAAATAATAAAGTCGCATCAAACGGCTTAAACTATCCAAAATAGCATTGAACGGTTTAGCTTTAAGAGAAAAGAAAGAAATGCTGGAAGTGTCTCTAATTCGGGCCGTTTACAGGCTCTTCTCTAAAAGGTAATGATAATAAAAAATTTATGACTTTTGATTTGTAGGTGTAGATGGACCCGCTAGCTTGTATATGTGGCTCGAAATGCTTTCAGATAATACTTTCTGCTTATCTTATACGCATTCCTGATTGTAAGAAATCTCTAAGAGCTCAAAAGCAATCAACGACAACGAATAGTAAAATCGTTTGTGTGATCAGATTTTATTTAGGCTTAAAATTCATTTTATACGATTAAAGCTGCAGGTTATCACCAAAGTTCCCAATTGGTCGTATGTAGCACTTTGGTGCTCTATGGAAAGAGCTTCTTCGCATTTCATATGGATTAAAGTGCCATATCCGATCAATAATGGTTGGTGTTTCCTGAGCCGCCTCAACTATGATATCAAATAAAATTTGATCACACATCGCGTTTAAAGAATATCGAAAAAAAAAAAATGCTCAAACAACTGACGGAGAGCAGTTAGTTGTTCGATTTATTCGATATACTTTTCGAGTGACAAATTTATACTACAACTATACAATCGAAATGTACCTAGAAGAAGAAGAAGCAGATGAATGAAGGTAATCATATGAAAGAAATCTTTTGACTGTTGGTCTTTTTTCATTTTTCTTTTTTTTTTAATTCTGTCAAAGCACTTTCGAGTGTTGTAGTATAATATGTTTGAATTGTAGATTTTCGATTACCTCGCCTTTATGGTGTCGTTTTGAGAGAGGGTTTTCGTGTCAGTCACGCCCAATTCTCTTATGTATCTGTTGATGTTTGAGCAAGTGGGCCTTCTGTCGAAACGCTTTAGCGCACACTTCACAGCGGAAGGGCTTTTCGCCCGTATGCGTACGTAAGTGAACTTTAATGTTACTCTTGTTTAGGAAACCTCGATTGCATATACTGCACCTGTGAACTGGTTTTTCTTTGCCCAACAATCCAGACAAATCATTGGCGTTGAAATTAACTGAGGAAGGTGACGTAATGGCATTCAATTGCTGCGCTCCATTGCCCGAGCTATTTGTTTGATTACCGTTGCTTGATTGACCCGCTTGATGATGTTGCGCGCCTGCAGTGTTATTGTGCTTCTTTTGGGATCTTGACCGTTTTGTTTTTGGAGTTCCGGTGGGTGTGATTGTAGTGGTGTGGGGGAAATTACCCATTAAATCCGGGCTACAGATTCCGTCTGACTTCATGGCCGATATAGAAACTTGATACTGCTGGGGATTGCTAAGGTAACGCGGATTGATCATGAGATTATCGGTGGTAGATACCACCGAGCCGGGCGGACTGGCAGAACTGGACGTTGCCGTGGGTAATTCGTTACAAAATGAGGTAGAACTGGGAGTTTCACTTTTCATATTAATCGTCGGAGGACCATTCTGCAAACGATTCTGCAGTAGGGGCATGCAACCGTGCGTTAGCAGACTTTGCAGTGTTGAAGAGTTAGTGTGGACTGGAGATTGGGGTAAAATAAAGTCATTCAAGGAGTCCTGTTGAGATACCACCAGTTTTCCGTCTTGTTGCGAACAGTTACCGTTAAACCATGCGTCCAAGTCCATCCAGGAGCCTCGCGTGTCATTCCCTTCATCTTTATCCAATTGATTAGGTACGGTGGTATCTGCTATCGCACTGCCTATAATAGCCGCTATATCATCTATAGAGTTCATGTCCACATATTCGCTAAGATCCTTAGCGTCCGCATATATTCGTACACCACCTGAATCGGGACCCTGATCACTGAGACCCGTCGTCGCACCATTATTAAGGGATGGTGCAGACATTATACAGCTGTCAGCTATCGAATACAACTTATTGTCTAATGGACTATCGGCAAACAGTTTTACATCGTTTAGGCAGGCGTCGGCATCCGCGTTGAGCACAGTTTCGGGCAGGCATGTAGACGATGATACTATATTGTGGTCGGTTGTGGAACTATGACTATTGTTCAGATTATTTGCTAAACCCAAAGACCCCGTTGCATTGCTATTCCCATTTGTAGATGATAAAGGTGACGTACCAGACGTCGCTGCCGCTAATTGTATTGTGGTCGAACCCAAAACTCCCGGTGTTGTCGTGTTCGATTGATAGGCACTTTGTATGTAATTGTTATTAGTTTCGTCCGGCAGCCTCTGAGCTATTGCGTGATAATGATGTCCGGATATACCGTTTATCGATAGATGTCCCGTATACCCGGTAAATGGTGGAAGCGGTTTTAAATCAGATAACGCATTCAATGAAGAAGAGTTCAACAGTAAGTTATCCAAAACATCTAACGAATTCTTTTGCTCCGAATCACTGGGCAATGAGTCTAAATCGTGTTCCAGCAGCAGTTTATGACCATCCAGCAGATATTGGTCTTGGCTGCTATTCTGTGTCGGACCCCAGCAGGGACTCATTAGCATACTTTCAACTTCAGATTCCGTTGGTCCATTCATACTGCAAAACTTCATTTTATTTAAAATGCGTCCGTGTGTCTTATTTCGATATCGTTTACAATATAAACGGTAGCGAAGGAAGTTACTGAGAAGAAAATAGGAAGAAGGAAGATGATTTTTGTCTCCTTTTGTTTGAATTGTTATACGTTATTATTGTTTCCCTTTTTTTTTTTGCATAAATAAATAATAAATAATGTATTATACGCTTTGGCTGTATAGCATTTTAATGTTTATTACATCTTTAAGTATTTTTAGTAGCATTTTGACCTGAAAAGACGAAAAAAAAAAGAGAATTAAAAGTCGCAATTAATTTAAAAGTGCAATAAAAATAACGGCGATCGTGAATTTTTATTAAAACGTTTCATTCTATTGAAAATATAAAGCTGAGCCGCTTAAAAGATGAAAGGATTAAAATCGTAGCTGTTGTCGTAGCATACGAATGCTTATTTCTTTGTTTGTACGTTCTTCGTAATGAAAGTAATGAAGAAAGTCGAAAACGTATACCTATCTTCTTATGTGTACTCGTTGAAGATATTTCCGTTTTCACAAAATAGCTTATTAGGCTTGGTCTAAATTTAGAGGGCCTTCAAATGGTTTTCTCTCATTGAATATATGCTTATGTCATATTATTTGCTGTCTTTAAATTTGTGACCCAATAATAAAGCAGAATGACAGACTTATTTGGTCAAAGTGCAGCATATAATATTCTAATCTAAATGAACGTTTCTAGTTACTTTCTGGTTCATTCGTTCTGCCTTTGCAGTGACTTTGTTAAAAGGTCTAAAGTACTCATCCATGCTTCTTACAATTTCTCAATTCGGCCAAAGCAAATGTGGCTTCTTCAACCGCTGCCTTCTCTTGATGCCAAATATTTGTTTGTCTTTATATCCATCAGTTTGTTTGTTTTACATATATCCATCAAAAAGGAACTTCGAAGAAAACATAAAATATATATATTGCTGTATGCTTGCAGTGGCGTGTGTTTTTCATAATCTCTTGGTCGCAAAAATGAAGATATCGACTTCAAAGGTGGTGGAAACAATGAAACAATGAGCATCATTCCTTATCAAAAATGGACATCTTCAGCTTTTCTTGCTTTTCATGTGAACAAAAAAAGAAGACTTTTCTTAACGAAATGACTAAAGTAAAGTATGCGGAAACTATGGAGCATTCAAATGATGCATAGTAGCGTCGAATGTCCGACTAAGATGCCATTATTCCTGATGAATGTGAAAAAGGGCTCAAAGCTTTGCATACTTTCCAATCTTGTTTCCCTTTCACTTCGTTCACAATCTATCCATTTATTAATTCGCCTATAGAAAAATGAAACCGAGATTGAAACTATGATCCTACGTTTAATCTTTGCGGTATAATATCTTGAAAACTTCATCTTGTACATCTGATCCTCTCCTATGCTCCACATATAAGGCATGCAGCTTATGCAGTACGTACAACATACATAAAGCTTACTATAGACTCTTTCGCTTAGACAGCTAAATAGCTATTAGTGTTGATTTTGAGATGTTATATATGTTCAATGTGATTTCCTTTTGGAAAATCCAAATAAAATTTATTTCCAAACATCAACAGCTTTTTTAAGTTGATTTTCTGATGAAATTTTAACTAGAATCATACGATTTATCAGCCCATAGACGCTTAATAGCAGACTACGCATCTGAAGACATTTTTCATTACGTCTCTTAATCCAAAATGAAAAAAGGGAACGATTACCGTCTTAGAGAATTTAGTAATTTGAGAGAATAACAATGAGCGACCACTTGTTGCAATGTATTTGAACACATATGGGTAATAAAGGAATGGATGGCGTAAATTTGAAAAGACTATAAAAGTCTTCGAAGTGCTTCCGTCGTTTAAAATGATATTCGAAATCGTTGCAATAACTGACTGTCTGATAAGAAAAATCACAAAATGTGTATAGTAAAGCGTAAAACATGCAAATGTTAATTTAAAATATAAAAGAAGTAAAAAGTGTACACACCAGGGATAATAAAAATTATTGTAAATTAAAAATTTTAAGTGGTATTTAGGTCGAAAACATAAATGTAATCTATAAAAGAAAAAAATGTTATTTCTTTTGCTGGATTTCGACCATATATCGCAGAAGGATAATTGCTCTTTTTGCATATAGCATATGGCTAAATATTGCCGCCAAATCCCGTACCGATGCGTAAGTAATATCAATGGAAAAATATCCATTTGACAATAAAGAATAGATGGACACGTTACGAATGAAAAAGCGTTACGCGTGCGTGCAAATGCAATAAATTTCTACTCCTTATTAAGACTGAAAGACCGACGGACATATAAACCAATTATCGTAAAAATTCGTGGTATTGACCGGCAGGGATAATTTATAGGATTTTTGGACCATATTTGTGAGCGCACAAGTTAGCTATACCTTCGAATGTGAAGTGAATTTTGGAAAAAGAAAGGGGAAAAGGAACGCGAAGAGAGATATAAATTAGCTGATGAAAATTGTAATTACATTCCACTTGCAGTTGAGACTTTTTTCTGGGAAATTCCCTATCTTATGGAAACGTAATCGTAATGATGACGACGGCTACGGTAGAGAATGAAAAAAAGGACGAGGAAAAAGCCATTACAGGTGTAAGTTATTGAATTATTGCGGCCTTTAAGTTATTACATACAACCATACAAATACCTTCTAGTCATATATATATATATTATGCGCTTGCCTTTAAAGACTTAAACCTATACATATATTCATACATATGTAAAAATAAAATGAAAATTTCAGTCCCAAAGTCTCAACGGCATCGTATATTATAGTAAAGCGCCAAGAATAGTACGCCGCATCCCAAGTGACATCCAAAGGCAGAAAAAAAAAGAAATAAGAAAATGTTAATAACAAAATTAAAAGATGCCGCTCTGTGCCCAATTGACTATTTAATAATAAATTTGTGTATGATCAGTTAGCCTTTGAAAAAATTTTCATAAGTCATAGCAGACTTGGTAAAAACACTCACGCATATGGTAAATATGTATAAGCCTTTCTTGTAAGTTTATATATATATATATATATATATATATATATATGTTTGCACGTACATTTGTCTTTGTGTGTAAAATCACGTACAAGTTTGAAAAGAATTGGGGCCACTCACAACGCTAACAAGACATTCAACAGCCGTAACAGTATTGGAAGAAATACAAATACAAAAAAAAAAGCAAAAAAAAAAAAAAAAAACACAAAAAACCACAATTTATAGACCAACAACAAAACCTATATAAATTTCGCTTTCAACAGGTTTGCGGCGAACGTTCACATACGCACACACTATACATATAGACAAAAGACAGGCCAATACGACGTCACGACGTCATACGAAAAGAAGTAGAAATACGAGAAGAAAGTACAAGAAAATACATGAAAGACACAATAATAATAATAAAAAAGGTTTTTTTTTTTTAATTTAAAAGAGAGTAAAACATGTTTCAGTGACACCGATCAAGCAACATTTGTTGCGATACATTACAAAAAAACAAAAAAAGAAGAAAAAAAAGGAAGAAAGAGAGTGACTGCAGATCTGTTATGGTCTTCTCTCTTTAGATTAGTTATTACTCCTTTTAACTACACACGCATGGCTCTTATTATGGAAATTCGGGAAGTTTTACCAGCAACGCTAACCATGCTCAGCCGAGCAAAGCCAATGCGATACAACGAACCGAACAACCAATTCCGAAATCATTTGGAAACGGCAATAAGGCATAAGCACAACTCGTAACAAACAGTTGAACATAACAAAAGCAACTAACTAACTAACTAAGCCAAGTTTGTTGCCGGTCTCTGGCTTATACATACGTTTATATATATGCGTTTAAGCGTTTGTGCCTTTAACTATTATAATCATGCTGCAGCTTTACTAATACAATTGCAAGCAAAATTATTGACGAAGCAAAGCAGAAAGAAAGACAACACTTACTATATAACAAATGTACCGTTATATGAAAAGACCTGCTGACACACTTCCGCGATCGGCTTATAAACGAATCACTTGGGTTTAGCTGCTTCATTTTCTGTTAACCAAAGCGCAAACGCGCTATAGCATCGCTCTCTTTCTCTCTGTCATACTTAGCACTCTCTTTTCCATTTTTTTTTTTTTTTTTTTTTTTTGCTAAATAAACTCGTGTTTGTGTGTATTTCAGAGCTGGGTTTTCTCTAATAATTTGTAAAGCAAAGAGAGCGATACTCTGAAAAAAGGAAAAACAAAGAGAGGCAGTAGTCTTCGGTTAGCATTTCTTTTTTTTTCCTTAACCGATTCTGTGAGCTTTTACGTAAGTAAATATACGTCAATCTGTTGTTGTATATGAGTGTGTAAACACCATCAAAATTGACTGAAAATAATGTTTATGCTATAATCGCCTTTGCTGTCTATTAATATGCTTAGATATACATCTACATGTGTATGTGTGTCATATGTTTTTTTTTTTTTCCTGTTTTTTTTTCACTTCAGGTATATTTATGATTTACATATAAATTTATTTCTTTCCAGAACTCAGTTTTAGATAAATTGCATAGATTTACATAAATTTCAGCAATGCAGCCACGCGAGCCCCTATCGATCATATACGAAAGACTATCTCGTATCGTAGGAACACACCATTGCTGCTTGTTGAGCTGTTAACATATATGTTAGTTGTGTGTTGCATTATCTTTTGTTGTCGGATTTTGTTGTTGGGAAAATTCAATTTTTTTTTTTCTTTTATAACCGACACACACACACACACACACACACACACATACACACACATCCACCAACAAGCTGTTATGGGACAATTGTCATTCACTTGGATTTAACTTTATATCTGCAGAATACAGTCAATGTATACACATAACTGTTGTTATAATAGGAGGCTTTTTGGATCATTTACTTGTACGCCACAATACAGCATTATATATATTAACAATAGGGTAATTTATTAAATGTGTGTGTGTATGTGTGTATACCTAATTAATACCTAACGGTATATGTTTCAAAGATATATGTTTAGTGTTTCGTTCACACTTTTCGCACGGGGGTCAAGTTTACGTTTGCGCAAAAAAAATCGGAAATCATAAGTGCTTGTAGAGTTTATATGACAAAGCAAAATATTACTCGATACATTTTTATAAAACTGTTATCAAAGAAAAAAAATCGAACAATAATTTTCTCACTTCGCCACTTCTGACGCTTGATCAGCGATCTTAAATTTTAAACCGAAATCTAATATTTCATGTCCACATT